CGAGTGATAGATGACATGTCAAAATTTATAAACGTCAATTTATGTAGTAAATTGTGAACGTGTTTCTAATAATACCCGTTCTGTCAACATGCCTGTGCTGTTTTCAAACGAAGAGTATGTCGACATAGTTTACAATTATGGATTTTGTGATGGAAATATGCCAGGCAACTAAAGAGTATCAACGACGATTTCCAAACAGAAGAGTGTCAAATCGTTAAACATTTGATTCTGTGTGAACGCATGATTCATTTCCGACAATGTCAACTAACTATGAACGTCCTGAGCAAATTTGATTTAGCATGAAAACATTTTGCAGATAATAATTGGAGATAGTCCAGAATTAAGTACCGGGAGAATTTCAGCATGTACGTATGTTCCTCATTGGAGAGTATGGCGAATATCACATAGCAATCCTTATTGTATCCTTATCATGTACACCAATTCAGCATCTGGAATCGCATGACTTACTTTCGCGGGTACATTTTTGCCAATGGATTCAAGCAAATTCTTAATCAGTAAGACGTATTTTATTTATCAATGAATCATTGTTTACGGAATAAATAATATGCACAACTCTCACAGATGGTCTAATGATAATCCTCATTTAAAAATGAATTGACTTTTCATTGACGATTTTTATAAAAAAAGTCATAAGAAAGTTTTATAAAAGTCTGGTGTGGCATAATTGATGATCAACTAATTGGTCCCTTCATTTTTGAAGATCGCCTTACAGGAGAAGTTTACATCAACTTTTTACGTAATGCTTACGTAATTGCCAGGTCTATAGGAAGATATTCCTATACTTACAAAACAACAAATGGTATTACAACATGATGCAGCTCCTGCTCATTTTAGTCGACTAAAGATCGGACGTGGAGGACCACATTCTTGGCCACAGAGATCACCAGATCTCAACCCTTTAGACTACTACTGCCGTGCTAAGACAAAAGGTCGTAACTAACGATAAATTGGATTTCAAGATCTTTGCATATTTGGCATTTAGTAACTAAAACCTATCAATGTACCAAGTCAGAAAATTGTATCTATAGCCTAAATAGGTAAAATAACATACAGTATTTGTCGTATCTTTAAAATATTAAGCGATTACTAAATCAAAATATCCTATGTGTTCTGTGCTAAGTCAAATTATTCTATCTAACACCTGCGACTTTTCATCTTAGTATATATATTATATTATTTTCAACAATACATAGTCCGAATATCCTATCTACTCTATACTAAATCAGTCTGTCGTATCTACTTAAAATATTTTAGATACGACAGATGGACTTAGGATTATTGCAAATAAACTGTAAAGACACCACAGATAATATTACTTACGACTTTTAGATTTGATGAAACGGCAAAAGTGAGGTTATGTGTGTAAGGTTTTTGTTAACACGTGTGATGTTGTACTTCTGTTTCTCTTTGTTTTAAGGTGTAATATTTATTAAACATAGGTTTTGCAACCGACTAAATAAATAATTTAAACAATAAACCTAGAATTTGGAGAATATTTTAAGATTTAAACAGATTTCACAAGGTAAGCGTGCTTAGGTTAGTATATTATTTATTATGAAGTAAATACCATTTTAGTTACGTATTTTGAACTGATTATAAAAATTGAGTATACCTTTTAGTTTAGGACCTATTCGCTGGAAAATTATGTGTAACCGGTCAAAAAAAATTTAACTTTAGCACTAAATCAGCAGCTAGCTAAAAAATTTAGAAACCGATAATAATAATGACGAATTAACTGATCCAGATTATGAACCCTATCCTGAAACTAAAAAGTAAACAGTAAGTAATAACAAAAATAAAGATGATAAGTCAATACTTATTTTGAAAAATTACAAATTGTAGAAAAGCCACTCTCAGATAAAAGCATTATTTGTTCAGCAAATTTATTATATCCTGAAGTACCTGAAAATTACCCAAATATATTAAATCCCTTAGTGACAATGAATGACAAAAATCCATTAGAAAATTCCTCAGAAATAGTAAGAGAAATTCTGGAATCTATTATATTTTTGGCTGTAGAGAAAAATGAACTGCGTTCGGGAGTAGTTGGTATGTAAAGTAGTATTTTGTCTGTTTTTTTTTGTAAATAAATGTTTTTAGGAGGGACAAATATTAACATTATATCTAATGTTTTGATTCCGAGGCCTACCAGTTCACAAGAAGTAGTAAAAGGAGTGCTTAGCGATATCATAGCAGCTTTAGATAGAGGTGAAAACAAAAAAGAAGAGAATTATACTAAAAAAGGGACATTAAGAAAAAGAAAAAGATTTGTAACTTCTGTTGAAGAAAGAAAAAAAGCCAAATATGAGGCAAAAATTTCAAAATATATTTTAAGAGAAACATGCAATGACAGATGTTTTAGAAAATGTCTACAAAACATTAATAAGGAAAGACAAACAACAATTCATTCTAATTACTGGAACCTATCATCGGAAAACCAACGACGACAATTTATATTTAGCGCTGTTAAAAACACCATAAAATATTATTTAAAAGACGACCAAGGTGTGGATTTCCAAGTATGTAAAAAGTTTTTCCTAGGAACCTTGGGATATCCTCTTCATAATGACAGAATCGTAAGGGATGTTATTTCGAAAACATGTGTTAATGAACTTGTTGCTACTCCTATCAAAAAAGGGCATCCTTCAGAAAAAAAAATTGCTAGAGAAAGCATAAGAGGCCATATTAAATCTTTCAACCCGTCCATATCGCATTATCGACGTGAACATGCGCCAGAAAGACTGTACCTACCTAGCGATATAAATATACACCTAATGCGTCCCTATGCATTAGGTGTATATTACTTAGAAAAATATCCAGATAAAATAGTCTCCTACGAGTTATATAGAAAGGAAGTTAAAGATATGAATATATCCTTTGCAGTGCTTGGACACGAAGAATGTTGGCTTTGTGAGTCATTTGAAAATCATATTAAAAGTTCGAAACATAGCAAAGACAACATTCAGGCAGATTCAGCAACATCACAATAAGACCATAACGGCACGTGAGGAATATAAAAAAGATGCTTCCACTGAAGGTGGTGAAACAAGTTTGTTTTTTTCTGTTGATTTACAAAAGGTAAGTAAATTTGAATTTTATATATCTAAAAATATACTACAATGTAATATTTTTTAGGTTGTGATGTTACCACGATGCGAAATGTTTAAGGAGATTATATTTGTCCCAAGAATTATCTGTTTTAACGAGAGTTTTGTTCCTCTGGGAAAACAAACAAAAAATAAAAAGCCAATTGCCATAATATGGCATGAAGCTACTGCCGGAAGATCGCAATCGGATATAATATCAACTTTCAATAAATTTTTATTAATGCACAGGGATGCAAAACAAGTTACGATTTGGATGGATAATTGTGCGGCCCAAAATAAAAATTGGGTTCTTTATTGTTTTTTCATTCAATTCATTAATTCTGAAAACACTGTTATAAATTGCATAAAACTGAAATATCTACAAACAGGTCATACATTTATGAGTGCTGACTCATTTCATCATCAAGTGGAAAAGTCATTAAAACAAAAAGGCAAAGTTTTAGATTTTGACGACTACAAAAATTGTATTCAAACATCAAATAGTGGAAAAACAACCTGTATTGAAATGAATGTTAGTGACTTTTTAACGTTAAAGACTGTTCATCCAGATTCAAACTGAATAAAACAGAGCCAAAACCGTATTTATCGAATTTTTGTGAAGTAAATTTTGTCAGAGGTTCCAAGAAACTGTTTTACAAATCAAAATTTAATGAAGAGCCAGTTGAATTATGTTTTTTGACGGCAAAATCTTTAAAAGAAGGTGTAGCTCAGCCAAAAATCAGAACCTCCCCAAGAGGGATAAGTGTAGTTCGAAAAAGTAATTTAATTAAAAAACTACAAGAATTGTCTTTACCGAAAAGTAGGCTAAAGTTTTGGGAAGAGTTACCTGAAACCGCAGAGGAAACCGACCTCAATTAAAGTGTTTATTAAAATATTTTAATAAAAAAACTGTTAGAATAAATATAATATGTATTAGAAAATAAATTACTTTTTTCCTACTTTTATGAATTTAATTAGTACTAATTTATCCAGTTTAATTGAAATTTTCAAAGTCAATATGTCCTAAGTGGTAGTTTCTAGAACGAAAAGACGTATCTATTACAATAAATACGACTAAAACCTTATAGTAATAATGCATTATTACTAAGTCCAAAAGTCGTATCTATCAAAGCTATCAAATTCTCTTTTGTTGTACTATTTGTGATATCAAGCTTTTCGGATATAAATAACTTACAATATTTTGTTATCAGTAGTCCAAAAAAGGTTATTTAGATGTGATGGGAAACTACTAATCCAATTAGCTTCACAAATCATTAAATAACTCGAAACTTTACTTAAATTAGATACGACCTTTTGTGTTAGCACGGCAGGACTACCTGTGCGGCCATTTTAAAAACTTAATGTAGACCAATTATTAGTAGAGAGGAACTTAGGTAGATAATTATTGATAAATATCAGCAATTGAGGAATTTAAGGGCAACCATTCACTCTATTCTTGGTCGTGTATTAATGCTGAAGTAGGACATTTTAAACAACGTATATTGTATGTAGTATGTTTTTTGTTTCGTTGTCATTTTGTTATTGTTAATCCTGATAATCAAACAAGTTTAAAATCTTTGTGCATGTAAATATTTATTTCTACACTTTAAAGGACCTTAACTCCGTAACCATGAAGAATTGACCTCATGTATATTATAACTTTTTTACTCAGCATGACCTCAAGAACTCGTTCCTTAAGTTTGTCTAATACGCCAAGGAACACACTGCATATATTTATAGAATCTATTAAGCTTGGCGTAAAACAAATGAAGCAAATTGGCCGTATCCACTTTTCTCGGACGATAATAATTTTTCCTGTTAAAGGGTCCATTAGGGCGCCGCCGCCGACTGCTCGACTTGCGCGCGATCCGAGATACAAATCAGAGTACTTACGCGATCATGATTGCAGCCCTGTTGGTGGTCCGCTTGGCTCTGTAAGTGAGTGGCCTGGTGACCGAGAAATAGCGATCGAAGCTGATGATGAGCAGGTTGAGCACAGAGGCGTTGCTGGCTAGGTAGTCCAGGGCCAGCCAGGTGTCGCAGACGAGGGGCCCCAGGGGCCAGTAGCCGAGCAGCGTGGATATGGTGAAGAGGGGCATGGAGATCAGTCCTATGGCGAAGTCGGCCACGGCGAGAGAGAAGAGGAAGTAGTTGCTTATCGTCTGCAGCTGCTTGTCGATCTTGAATGAGATCATCACCATAATGTTGCCTACTACGGTGACGACGGACAGAAGACCCGCTAGAACAATTAAAATATTGGTTGTCAGAGAAAAATGCAAAATTTTCCACTGTTTCAATAAAATATTATCTAATAAGAAAACTTAGGAATATTTAAAAATGTCATATTCTCTGAACAATATTTATTCAATAAGTTTTTGGATATCTATTTCCGTTCAAAAGACATAAAATGATTTGTACAAAAAAAAACACTGATTCGACCAAATCTGTTACTGTTTTTTGCAAATTTATTTTATTTATTGAAAAAATAAATACTCAATGAATAAGAAGATATGATTCTGATTTTGGGGAAACTTGGAATGATTCGAAATTAGCAGTAGGTGCGGTTTTATGGAGACGCTGATAAAATCACTAGCAGATTTGATAAAAAAATGTGAAAATATATGTGCGAAATTGGGAAAAACAATTTTGATGATTCCCTTGGGGCGATAAGTTTAGTTAAAATTAATTTGAAAATATCCCTTTTTTATCTGTTTTATTTCTCAGACAAATATTTAGATTGGAATTTGTATATGCACTGCAAAAAAATGAGTAAATTTTTATTTAAAATGAACACAATTTTTTGTTAAAACTATTATTACGTAGGTACATGAAAGTGATGTATTAAATTTAATATTACGCAGGTACATAATTGGGGGGGGGGGGGGAGTGAGCTGAAGCGGGATCAAAGAAGAAATATATTCTTTGAAACTAAATACATTGAGATACTTGCTTGTAGATATCGAATAAATCGAGTTTAAAATACTTAAATTATGTATTCTCACTCCTTCACCCAATATGCATAAATAAATGCCAAAAGTTGAAACAGAAACTTAGCAACAGCGTCCTTGTCATGTATATAGGTATATATAGGCTATATGATCGCTCGCACAGCTGATTGTTTTAACCTATAAAATGTCGGATGAAGAACAGAGTCGGTAGTAAGGAAAATTTGTGACCAAAGTATGAGAGTATAAATGCTTGAGAATTAAAACAGAAAATAGTAAATGCAGAAAAAAAGCTGTAGGAACGAAGATTGTGGAGCCAGAACCTCCGCACACAGTTCGACGGCGTCAAGTAGTCGACATAAAGTACATGGCATAAAACACGCTGCTCTTTTTGCAAAGAACTTTTACGTACTTTAAAAAGTAAACGTTTAAATATGATTTAGTTACATGCATAATTAGCATATTATTACTATGATGCATTTCTGTGAATACGTTCTTTATAAGGACAAGGGTTTAAAGCGATTGCATTTATATATGTATAATATAATTTGATATACAGGGTTTTCAAAAAGTTTGGACCCCCCTCCCCTCTATCTCAGAAAATACTGTTCAGACAAAAAAATGATTAGAACAATAGTTGCAGGGTATTGAGTGAGAAATCCAACGGTGACCTTGACTACGACCCTGACCATGATCATGAAGGTCATTTGGAGGTCAAGTTGAAAATTTTAAATGTAACCGTATATTTTTTATCTGATAATTTTCATTCATTGTTTATATGCTGCTGTATTTTTTTGCAATGAAAAGATTTTAAAAAACATACTGCATTTGAAACTTTCGCATTTTATTTTATTAATTTTATTATCCCAGATTGAATTACACAAATAAACACAAGTTGAATGTAACCCATTTCTAAAGACTAATTTATGTATCGAAAATTTATTTAAATTTCCCGCCACGTATCATCATTCATACTGTATTGCGCTATTGTCGTTACTTGTTCGCGTTTATTACTTGGCGGACGATATATCAGAACTTTTTATGTTTGATAACACAGCCACACACAAAAAAAGTTGTCTGTACTTTTCATACGTCATATGTTATCTGTAGTATTTTTACCTCTTGATCACGAATTCGGTGTCAGAATTGAGCTATCACATCACAGGAATTTCCTAACCTCAAAAAACAATTCAAAAATAGCAAACATTCACGAAAAAGTGCTAGGAAAATACATTTTTTTTAAAATCTATATTCAAATGTTCATTTATATGGTTAAGACTCCGTCGAACGTGAATCCCCGGTCAAAATTGATGGTATTTTTGCTAACCTCAAAAAAAAACAGGTCAATTAAGCACAAGATGGCGGATCCAAGATGGCCGACAAAATTTTGTAAAATAACCCATTCGTGTCAAATTTGATATACGGGGGTTTTCGGAGTAGCTGATCACGGATCCGAGGTCAATTTTGCAAAATTCAAGATGGCCGACCAAATTTGAAAAAAATAACATATTCGCGTCAAATTTGGTATACGGGGGTTTTCGGAGTCACTGATTACGAATTCGAACATTCGAATATAGAAAAAAAATGTTTGTACTTTTCCTAGCACTTTGTCGTGAATGTTTACTATTTTTTAACTGTTTTTTGTGGTTAGGAAATTCCTGTGATGTGACAGCTCAATTCTGACACCGGATTCGTGATCAGGAGGCAAAAATATTAAGGCTAACAAGTGTCGTATGAAAAGTACAGACAACTTTGTTTTGTGTAGCTGTGTAATTTATTTCCGTGTGAAATGTGCAGTAACATACTTTTTTCTTTCTTAATTAGTGATTCAGGTAAATGTCTATATTTTTTTCGTCTTACCATTTGCATTTTTTCACTCGTAATTCGATTTTAAGGGTATGCAATATGCAACATAGCATTTCCCATAAGAACCTATATTTTTGGTACTAATTAAAAACAAAAACAAATTGATAAATAATTCGGGAATAATTCACAGAATCTGATTTCGCGTTGCAAAAAAATATATCAATACGAAACTGGCTGCATTTTTTCCTAACATCCGATCCTCCTTAAACTACACGCATGCAATTAACACAATTGTTAACACCATCTGTTGAAAAACAGCAAGAACTTATTGAACGTCTATATATAGGTACCAACATATATTTAATTTTAATCAAAATATATTTTTAAGAAACAATGAAATGTTAACATTTGCGCATTCGCCAGAATTTTAAATAATTTGTGCCTAAAATTATTAGGTCCTGTTTTCAAATTGAAACAAATTGGATAGAAATAGCCAGTCTTACTCGAATTGGACTATTCTCAGTTAAATATAGGAATAATTTGAATAGATATCATTAATAAAATAACACTGTATTTGAGAACTCAAATTGCAAATATTTTCGTACAAAATGATAGATATCCATGTTAATTCCTTCTAGAAATGATCTTGGAACTCAAAGCCTAATGGAACAAAAAATAAAATTTTATAAAGGTGACGCTGTATAATGCTATCAGCTCGCTAAACTTAGCTCTGGATTCGTGACTGAGCAATCTTAGTGAACGTGATAGCAACTGCATTATATACGACATCATCTAAGTGCTTTATCTAAGTAAGTACATAATGCTATTGTACACAGTCTTAATGCATTCTCGACCACACCTTTGAGAATTTGTCGGTTTTGTGAGGTGCTGGCTCTGCTAACATAAAATAATTATTAAAATATGAACCTCAATATTCAGAGGCGGTACCAGCCTTAAGTATGTAAACCTATGAACAAAATCTGTTCAATTAATGGAGATCGAGCCTTTAAATTATACGAAATAGGTAAGTATTGTAGTATAACAACCCCGGGTTTGATCGAAAAAAAATATAAATTTAATTGTGGACAGAAATTTGTGATCGTCATAAGGAATCCCTACGTTGTATACATCTATTTTTAATTGACCGAAAAGCGCTGGCTACTAACTTTAAAGAGGGGAAGTATGGTTTAATTTTATAAATCAAAAGCAGAGTAAATACACCTAACTTTATTATTTAGGTACAACAGTCTTCAAATTAAACATGTGACAAATAGAAAGAACAACAAAAGCATTAACAACCATTTAACATAAAATGAGAGTGCCAGGCTCACCTAGAGCTCCTGTGGGGAAAGTGTATGGCAGATAAACTTATGATCGTTGCTCTAACTACCCAAATATAAATACAAAACAACCGCTAAACAAAGGCATAAATTAAGATCCTTTGAATGATAAATAAGACCTGACTTATTTAATGTGTCACTAAATGTCACCTCACTCGAATCAGACACACACACTTCCAAGTAAAACTGAAGAGGTTTGGTGTTAGTTATCCGGCAGAGCCGGAAGGTACTGGAGTCCCATACGGGAGGCAATCCAGCTATAGTTGAGATTTCGGAAGATCTGTTTTAGCAATTCTTTTTTTGTATATAATTATTCTTTTTTTTTCAAATTCGTTTTTCACGGGCGAAAATGTTAGTGAATTCAACAAGGCCCTTATATGCGTCTTGACATAAAGTGAGCTTAATTGTTTTTCGAACAACGTAATCATGATGAAACAAGTTAAATGTGAAACAAAGGAGTTGCTATTGCAATATCTGGGCAGTCACGACAATATATACATATTTTAACATGTAATAAATAATGAGCAATCGTTAATAATAATTGTAACAATTTTACCTTGGCAAAATATACGCCCCTGAGCGTAAGACAATGAAGGCTAAACATACACAGAATTTTTATCATGACATATATATATATATAATCATTACAATCATAAGATACAAGATAGAACAATTAACAACAAAGTACTTAGAGAATATTACCTGCTAATTAATACCTGTTAAACACTTTTAATTTTTCACTACTTTGCCACATTGCCCGCCGATCGTCTTACTACCCATCTCCACACTGTTCTCACTTCAACTATTTAGGCTTCCTTCCAGAAATTCCCACCCATAAGCGCCTGTTTTTGCGCTTCCTTCTACCAACTGTCAATAGTACGTTTTCATTATTGTATAACACCCATGTAACAGGTGACGTCGAAGTTGATACGATAAGTATATATATACTTATGTATACAATGTCTTCAAAAATGCCCGAGTCCCACGTAACCAGATTTGTTTTGGTGCTCAGTAAATTTGATTTTCTTAAGTTGGTGTTTCAGAAATTATCAAGGAAAAATTACCAACTAGAACCCTAGATGAAATGTCAGTCCAGAGGCGTTCGTAATTTTTCGTGTTTTTATGCCTATTATTTGTACAATTTAGCA